TTTTATGTTTTGGCTCTTTTAGAACGTCAACTTTATAAATACGAAATTCATTGTTGGTATTGAAATGGCATTCCTTCACCTGCTAACCTTTAATTACTTGTATGTTTCAGAGTTGGATAGTTCAAACCCAAAGCTCATGAATGAGTCCCGTATGATGCGAATAGCTCGAGGTTCTGGTTGTCAAATTAGGGAAGTAATGGAGATGTTGGAAGAGTATAAACGTCTTGCAAAGATATGGAGCAAAAGGAAAGGGCTTAAAATACCAAAGAAGGGAGACATGAGTGCCTTATCCCGAAATATGAATAGATGCCTCGCACCGCAGATGCTAAATCAAATTGGAGGATTGGTGGGTTACAAAGCTTGATGAGGCAGATGGGATCTGCTATATGATGGGAATGTTTGGAGGTGGTAGTATAAAAATATTATTTTGTCATATTTAGTAAGGGATTTGCATTTGTCATTTAACATGACACAACAAACTTTCTTACATACACAACATTTTGTAGAGCTCACACTTTTTGAAGAAAAAAAAAAAATTATGGCACGCAAAACGAATCTCTATAACATTACACAATCATTTTTCCTACAACATAACTCTTGGGGCCGTTTGGTACGTGGATAATTTTAGGATTCCTGGGAAATTGATTTTTTTAAAATTTTAAATTTTTGGATATCATCATAAACTGGATGTAAAAATCATATTTTTAAAAATCGAGATTCCCGGACAAATAAAAATTTCTCTTGTACCAAACGCCAATAAAACCCATTTAGTAAATGATGTACTAAGTACGAGGCACTGTTGGAGTACTGAAAATATTTTAGTCTCCTATAATATTTTGCTGTCTGTCCGCTTCAGCTTTCATGCTTTCATGATTGAGTTCGCCTCAACCTTATCACAGCTTACATGTTCTGGTGTATTTCACAGCTTTTTTGAACTACTTGAACGAGATGAATAATGATACTTGTACACACGTACCTATTGTCTCGTGTCTATAGAGTTTTTATCCGAGTTGGTTCACCCAATTTTTTTTGTAAACTTCCATTTTGATTGTCTCACTTCATAATGATGTGAGAGTTGTGAGACACATTTGATGTGCAACGAACATTGTGAATCTTGATGCGATACATCCCAACAAAAAAATAAAATGGCAAAGGGAGTAAGTTATTCCAACTCACTTTAAAATAAGGCAACCCATCCCTTTATGTCAAGTGTCAACCCGCTAACATTATAAAAATATGATTTTTTTTTTAATTTATAGTTCTTTCGTACTCACCTCATATATTATTATTATTTTCACCCAAAATTCAGAATTTTCCTAATACCACTTACACAATCCAGCGTTTGGTATGGTATGGTATTATATAAGATAATATTCTTCAATATTTTAAAAATTAATATATTAAAAAAAAATTATTTTAATATATAAATATTAAAATGACATATTAGTTCTTGGGAATTGTACTTGTAAGTAATATTAATACATCAATTCTTTATCAGGCTTAATCCACCACTCCTATGGCTGATTCAGTTATACATCATTTTGATGTATAAAGGGATCCTGCTATATAAGTTTATATTATACGATGGTCACACCAAATAATTGAAAATGTCATAACATATAGTATAAGCTTATACTATCAGGTTTTATACATCACACCAAACAGGTCCTTACACAAATTTAAGACGGGATTATAAAAATTTTACACCTCTTATCCTTTTTAGAAATTCTTCTTTTAAATTGAACCTAAAATAAGTAACGGTATATTTATTTTTTAATTAATGTAAAGTGCGTTGTGAATTTGTGATTTTAACGCATTGAATGATGGTGACTGTACTGTACTCTTATTTTTCCACATTAGAACAAATTTACATTAAACGAGTGTTTTTAATATTTTTTTCCCATGTTTAATTCCTTGTAATGTGATAGGTATTCTCTAATACATTCATAACTTATTGTGTGTACGTAATAAATTAATGTGATGAGGTAATAACACAAAGAAATTTTAGTATTATTATTATTTTCAAAATTAATTATTATTATCAACTACTCACGTAAAGATTGAAAAATGAATATAATATGATAAAATTGAATATTCTTTTTACACAAAAAGATGACAGGGAAGAAATTTAATCGCACTGATAGGGGAAATATTTAATATGGTCCAGGATCACTGAATCTTTTGGTGATCCTTCTCACATAATTGATTTTTTGTTTTTTTCTTTATCCCTGTTATTTTTTTTCTTTTCCAATTTTACCCTCCTATTTTACCTAAAAATGGTGATCTCGGTTCAAAATAAATAAACTCACTAATAGGATGCTGATTAAGATTGGTGCACACCTATGATGCACGGGACACGACACCAAACGCCGACACATTAATTCTAAAAAATATCATATTTCGACACGTTGGGACACGTTTTGATATTAAATAAAAAATTTAATATATATAATATAATTTATATTTAATACATATAAAAGTCCATAATAAGTAATATAACCAATCAAATATTTAAATTTCATAACATAAATATAAGTAATTTTTCGTATTTTGTTAATTTTTAATGTCAAATTTCATAACAGAAAAAAATTAATTTATAAATTATTTCTTTATATTTAGTTAATAAAATAAAATTAAGATTTAAAAAAAAAAAGTGTCCCACCGTGTCCGAGCGTGTCCCCAAATGTTGACCGCGTGTCGGATGCGTGTCTGTGTTGGACATGTGTCCGACACGCAAATTTTAAAAAATCAAATTTATGTGTGTCCGTGCATATGAGGTGCACACTATAGGATAAAATCTGATAATATAAAATCTGATAGTATAAAGTCTGATTGTATAAGACCTGATTAGATTTTAATATTATCTAATGTTTGGCATAATATTATATAAGATAACATTATCTAATATTTTTATAAAAAATTAATATTTGATAATGCATTTATAATATTTGAGAGGATAAAAATAGCTTACCAAAAAAAAAAAGAGAATAAAAATAAATATGTTTGACAAAAATATCCTTTAATAAAGAATTTATATATTTTTTTCAAATATGTCATATGATATTAATTTTTATAAAAATCTATTGATCAGAGTGTCCAAAAATATATTAATTTTTATAAAAATAAAAAATTCCAATATTTGAAAAATTAACATATATGAAAAATTATTTTTTTTAATTTATGAATATTAAAATAATATATTAATTCTTGAAAATTGCAATGGTAAATGATGTTATACATCAACCCTTATCAAGCTATTCCACCACCTGGTTAAGTTATAGATCATTTTAATGTATTAAGGGGGCGTTTGATAGAGGATAAATTTTTTTATATCCAGCAATCATGGTTTCAATGAATATGGTGAGAAAATTATTTTTTTCGAAAATGTTACAAAAAAACTGTTTGTTATACTAAAATATTATCGGGATTTTGTTCAAAAAAAAGTGTAAATTTTTTCCAACACTTGGGATTTCAAGAATACCACTCCTTAATACTCTTTAGTAATATTCTTGGATGTCATTTTGAAATAAAATTTGTACACAAAATAAAATCTTGGGAAAATCAGATTCCCATGAAAATTTTCAGAAACATATAACTAAATGTGAGTAAATAGGTTTACTTCTATCACTTTCCTAGAAATTTCAAAAAATTTCTCCTATCAAATAACCTCTAAGAGATTCTGTTGTATAAATTTATATTGTATATTAGTCATACCAAACAACTAAAAATATCATAACATATAATATAAACTTATATTATCAGGTCTTATACATCACATCAAATAAGCATAATTGGATTCAAATACATGCATACTTCTGGAATCACTTAAAATTCAAATTATTATTTAAAAAAATAAATAAATTAAGAGAAGACACACACTGCACACAAATCAAGTCACAATTGACGGGTACAAGACAAGTTTAATTTTTTTTATAAATAAAAAGGAAAACTTGTAAAATTAACATTAATGCTGATCAAAATAGATTAACTATTACAAAAGAATTTCTATCAATATTTAAATTCTTTTGTCAAAATACATTGTTTCTCATCTAAATATAAACGTAAAAAATTATGAACATTTATTACTCAAAATTTAAATTGTTTTCAAACGCCGATTATGATTAGTCTTTTATCTTTATCTTTACTATTTTTTCAAAAAACAAAACGTGGATTAGGTTAAGCTATATAACATGGATGAGAGATTGTCATTATCAAATAATGTTAATATAATGTTACTATCATATCTTAATTGTTGATTTTCGCCGATCAACTGTTATTATTTATTATGAATTAATAATTAATTAATGAGTTTGATTTGTGAAAATAATAACGGGTTTGATGTTTGTCATTTTAAATTACATAAGTTATGTCATTCTAGAAGAGAGATAAATACAGAAAAACGAAAATCATGAGAGAGAGAAAGTGGGTGATTTTTTTAATTTAAAATTCAAATAATTTTTTTTTCTACGTCTGTCTCTCTCTTAAAATGACATAGCTTTATTTAAAATGACAAACACTTTTTCTAATAATAACTGTTAATTGCCGAAAATCAGTAGTTAAGATATAATAATAACATTGATAATAATATTATTTGATAATAACATTTTTTTTTCTTCCTACCTACCATTTTTTCTGCCTATCTTTGTCTACCACTCTAAAAACCATTCGATCAGAATCTTAATTAATATTTTTTTTCTCTCTCGCTCCTCTGTAAATTCTGATCTAACAATATTGAAGAGTGATAAATAAAGATAAACAAAAAAAAATAGTAAACAGAATAACTTATCCTATAAGATTATAACCCAATTTTTATTCTTGATAGATATATATGACATCTCATGCCATGTCATATCAAATCATATATGTACATTATAGGAACCCTATTTATTAGTAATGTTATTTTGGGTTGAAAATACAAATCGTGAACAGTAGTGTTTGAAGTTGCAAAGAGTTTGAACCCTCGGTTGCCTCTTTCCTTCGGCCGCACGGACATACTGTCGTTTCGTTTCCAACGTCGATCGTTGCAGACCATTCTCTCTCTCTCTCTGTGTGTGTCTCGCTCTGTCTTTCTCTCTCTCTCTCTCTCTCTATATATATATATATATACATACACACGCGCACGCTTCTCTTCGTTCTGTACTCACTGCACTGCGACGCCGTTTTTTCTCTTCCGCCGCCGTGTGTTGGTGGTATGTGCTCTTAGAACTCTCACTTTTCTCAACGTTCTCTCTATTCATTCGTTGTTCAAATGCAGTGTTATTTGATAACTGATTCAAGTTTTCTTTTTTGTATGGTTGTATACTTTTACTCACTGCTTTGCGTTGCTTATCGTCGTTATTTGTGTTTGATCCCTAAACCAATTAAAAAAGAAGTAGAAGAAGAAGCAAACCCTATTTATGATTTTAACTATATCTCTGTTTTATTTAAAATTGATTTCTAATTTTTGTGATTGTCTTTGTCTACAGCATGCATAGTCACTGTGATGTTAATTACGTGAATTAGAATATAATTCATGTTATATTCTTGAAAAGAATAACCAAATCATGTTTTTTTTTTCCTTCTTGAATTTGGTATTGTTTGCTCTGTATACGGTGCCAATTTATGTTTGGGGAGTTGTAATTCAGAGGTTTTTTCTATCTAGCTATATTGGTTTATTTGTAGATATTATAAAGAAAGAATGTGAATGATTACTTTTATTTCATGGGTATATCAGTAGTATGGAGGAGATAAGATATTGTTACTAATAAATAATGTAATAATGTTGCTACCAATGTTACTACCATATCTTAACCGTTGATTGGCGGAAATCAACGGTTATTATTTCCACAAATCAAACTCATTAATTAATTATTAATTTGCAATAAATAATAACCGTTGATTGACGGAAATCAACCATTAAGATTTGGTAGTAACATTATTTGATAGTAACAATATCCTATCATATCAGTATGACTGTTGAGATAATAGGGAAAAATGTTACCAAGTTATTTGGTTACTCATAGGCTTGGTTTTAAGTGGGTATATCTTGCAAGAGGAGGTCACCTCTGTCAGGAAACATGCTGACTCTGAAATAGATAATTAAAGTATGGATGAGTGGATTGATTTTAAGACTATTACAGTTGTATGCTACCATGTTAATTGGTTTTTGACAGAACACAATGTCATCGTTTGATACAGTTAACCGACCCAATGGGAAGGGGCTTTTGTTGGTTGTTGTTAATTGTATGCTAATTCATTTTTGGTTAGTCCTTTTTTAAAATTAACTTAGGGTTAAAAGTTGTGCTTAAAAACTTTGTTTTTCGAATGCAATGTAGTAACATAAAAAAGGATGTGAAGGAAGGACTGAAAGTAAGAGAGAGGATGGCCATTTTCAAATTGATTATTAAATGTGATTTGACTTTGATTCAGAGGAAGTGCTAAAACAAACAAGGTGGAATTCAATCGAAATCATTTCCGTAATGAACTGTTTTATTTTAGTAGTATTAGTGGATTTTGCACATTATGATTTTCATTTTACTTGATGAGGTTGAACCTTTATCTGAAACTCAAGACCGTCCCACAAATTTAGAGGTTACTATATATTTTCCTTGTTACTTATCTATTGTTTATCAGACTAAGTCCTTAGTGGATGAAGTTCTATGGTTTTTTAAATTCTTACTCTTGCTTGATCAGTTTAGTATTAATGTTTTGTATAAAATATAATTCTTAGCTTGCCTTGTTAATATATGTATTCAGCCACTTATTGATGCACTGCTAATGTTCCATTCTTTTTGTTTTCTAGGATTACACCTGCGTTCATGGAGTTTGATACTCGTGTTACCCCTGTTAATAACAATGAGAACAACGATTCAGGAACACAACCCAATAAGCGTAAGAGAAAGAAGTCTATTGTGTGGGAATATTTCACAGTGGAAACTGTTGGAGCTGGATGTACCAGGGCTTACTGTAAACAGTGCAAAAAATCATTTTCTTATATAACTGATTCAAAGTTAGCTGGCACAAGTCATCTGAAAAGACACATTTCTTTGGGAATCTGTCAAGTAATTCGGCAGAAAAATCAACAAAGCCCATATCCCAAAATTGGTGGTTCTCAAGACACTAACAATCAACCTAAGAAACGACCAAGAGCAACACCTGGGTTTGCTGGTAATGGTAACTCATTTAATCAAGAGCGTTGTAACCTTGACATTGCTAAAATGATAATTTTACATGATTATCCTCTTAATATTGTGGAAGACCAGGGTTTCAATGATTTTGTGCGTACTCTTCAACCCCAGTTCAATCCTCCATGTTTTAATTCTGTTGAACAGGATTGTGTTGCTATGTATCTCAGAGAGAAGCAAAACCTGTTGAATCTTATTAATGGGATTACTGGACAAGTCAACCTGACATTGGACTTTTGGACTTCAAACCGGGCAATGAGCTATGTTTTTATTCGAGGACACTTCATTGATTGTGATTGGAACTTACATCATCCTCTTCTCAATGTTGTTATGGTACCATTTCCTGATTTGGATGATTCCTTCAGTCAAACTATAATGACCTGCTTATCTGATTGGCATTTGGAGGGTCAGCTATTTACCCTTGCACTCCATAAATCCTTCTCTAGTGAGACTGTGATGGGAAATCTGAGAGGTCTTCTCACTGTTAAGAACCCTGGGGTCCTCAATGGTCAGTTATTAAACCAGAACTGTTATGCTCGTGTTCTTAGTCGCCTTGCAGTAGATGCACTGCAGGCAATGAGAGGAACTGTTGGCAAAGTTCGTGAGAGTGTGAAGTATGTGAAATCTTCAGAGTCTCACGAAGAGAAGTTTATGAAGCTGAAGCAACAACTACAGGTACCAAGTATGATGGACCTTTTAATTGATGACCAGAGTAAATGGGACACAACTTACCGTATGCTAGTAGCTGCCTGTGAATTAAAGGAAGTCTTTGCTTGCTTTGATACCACCGATCCTGATTACAGAATGGCTCTAACTATGGATGAGTGGAAGCGGGTTGAAATTCTCTGCACATGTTTGAAGTATTTGTATGATGCAGCTACAATTTTAACTGCTCAACCATTCCCGACTGCAAACTTATTTTTTCATGAAGTGTCAAAACTTCAGGTGGAGTTGACTCATGCTGCCTTAAGCCAGGATCCTTTCCTTAGTAGTTTGATTTTGCCTTTGCACGAGAAGTTTGATCAATATTGGAGAGAAAGTTGCCTTGTCTTGGCAATTGCTGTAGCCATGGACCCAAGACATAAAATGAAACTTGTGGAATTCACCTTTGCTAAGATATTTGGCAAGAATGCTGAGCCATGGATAAGAATAGTCGAGGATGGTCTTCGTGAACTATTCATTGAATATAACACCCTAATGCTTCCTTTTACAGCAACAAATGGTGACGAAGGGGATGAGTTTACCATAAAGACAGATCCATGTCAAGAAGGGTCACTTGATGGTTCTATTTTTGTTGATGAAGATGGATTTTCCGACTATGAATTTTACATATCTGATTTTACTGGTAACCAGCAATTTAAGTCAGAACTGGATGAGTATTTGGAAGAACCTCTGCAGCCCAGAGTACAAGAATTTGATATTCTGAGCTGGTGGAAAGTAAATGGATTTAAGTACCCAACATTGTCTAGAATTGCATCTGATGTTTTGTCTATACCAGTATCCACACTGTCTGCGGATTCTGTTTTTAACACAGAAATTAGAAAAATGGATAACCACCGGAGCTCGTTAGGCTCCCTGACTCTTGAGGCCCTTATTTGTGCCAAGGACTGGTTCAAATATGAATCCATACCTATAGATGTTTCAAATGCACTTGTGAAAATGGAATTTTAGGTATAGCTTCTTCATGTAGGGATAGATTCTCAAGTAGATCTTAGGTATATTTTAAGTCTTGAAACCGTGATTCAGGTCAATTAATTTGTGTGATTAATTGTCCGATTTTTCATTGTATATGTTTATAGTATAAACTATAAAGATTGATTCTGTTCAAACTTCATCTTTTGGCCAAAATAACCATTTTGTACCAAAAAGAAAAAGAAAAAAAAACGATTATAATCTTTCTTTCATTATTTCAATGAAATACCTGAAAGATTCGTAGTTTCAAACATTCAATGAAAAACTTTGAAATTTTTTATTTTTCTTTTCCTGCGGGTAAAATGGAAGATTTTTATTCCTCTGGCAAAGGCTTCGGCCTATTTATTTTCTACTGATTTGATTTGTGTGTGCTTGGTAGATGGTTCGATGATGTATTGCCTAGGTGTATCATGAAATTAAGATGGTTTTATGATGTTTTAAGTGATGGAATATGATGGCAAGTTGTAAGAATTTTAGTGAAACCTAAATTGGGGCAATTCAGCCCTAGAATTGATAATGTATATGGAAGTGCTTCATATTTGTGGATCAGTTACTCTGTTATGTGTGTTTCACGTATTTGTATCAATATTTTAAGGGAGAATAGCTTATGAACTATTCTCCCTTCCTCCACTCACATTTTTTATATGGTTTTCACAAGATTTTCCCCCTCCTCATCTCCGTTTCTTTTTTCTCACCTATTTTCTGAGTCTACAGGAAGTTAAGCTTTTTTCTCCAATAATAGAAGAAAAACTTAACCCATATTTTAAATATCTAATTGAAAATTGAAGCACGAAATTTTTGAATTATAGTTTTAGGATTTTGGGTTTAGAATTTCTTTTTTTTAGCTTCTCTTTTCCTTATAAGTAAAAGTTAGGTCAAACAGATATTTAATATTGAAAAAAAGAGAATAAAAAAAATCAAAAACTCCTAATTTTTTTTTTTTTTAAGATTTTATTAACGTTACTTGAAATGATATTTGAATTTTTAAGTTACCTTTAAACTAAAATTTACTTGAAGGTTCAGTCAAACCTATTAAAAAAAAAAAGTAGTCAGGTTGGAGACATAATTAATTTGCAGTATGACTGATTGAATTGATCGATTCAGTCTAATTTTAAAAAATATTAATTTGTATGTATAATTCACTTTCTCTTTTCTTGTACGTTAGTAAATTTGTCCTTCATCTAAAAACGTTTCAAATTCAGTAAATATAAAATAACTTTTTTAAAAGATGTAACTAGATATTTATTTTTGCGATATGTTATTTTACCTATCCATTTTAATACTGTTATATTACAATCTCATTCAACGGTCGATATTTGTGATATAAAAAAATCTTTTTTTCTCTTTCTTCTCACTTCCTCCCACACCTTTTTTCTCTCCTCTTCATTCTCTCTTCATCTGCGATCAGCATAAACTTGGATTATCATAAACTTTGCCCAGCATATGATGATGTCTCTATCTCACTTTTTCAAGTATCCTTAATCTTCTTAGCCCAATCACTCATTAGAATGACATTTTTATGTCATTGAAAATCGATTCGGTTCTTGAACTTATTCTTAGAAACCAGTTTGGTTCTTGAATTGGTTCTTAAAAACCAATTAATGAATCGATTCTTTAAAATCATTTATTTTAAGTGCAGTTCAGTTTAATTTATAGTGCAGTTCAGTTTAATTTATAGTTCAGTTCAGTTTTGTGGTTCTTTTGCACACCTCTGTTCACAACTCTCACCGATTAAGTAAGGAACACTCTAAAAAAATATTAATTATATTGAAGTTTTACAAAATTACATCCATTCTCAATAACTAACATATTTGTACAAGATGTTCTCCTCAATATCAACAATTAAGAACAATATGATTTGAAATTGATCTGGATAAAATATAGTAGGCCAGCTAGAAGTCCAAAAACATACGAACGAAGCCCAATCTCACGAAGGCCCAGAGTTAGGCGCGATGACCCCCATCGCGCATAACATGACGTGATGCCTCCATCGCGTATGAAACCGCCTTTTAGCATAACTTTAGAGGCAAGAAAGCTATCTCAAGAGCTAATACAAACTCACTGCGCCTTTGTACTAATAAACAGAGGACAACACCAGCTTGCCGCTACTCTATCAAAATAGCCTGGCATTAAGAGATAAGGCTATAGCCAAACCTGCAGCCCATGAATGGCCAATCAGAGGTCATACCGCCTTCTGAAGGCGGCATTAGAACTGCTATATAAGCAGAGGGTACATGCTCAGGTATAATAATCTAATTCAGTAAGAATACACATACACCTGCAACTAATACTGACTTAAGCATCGAAATGTCATTGCATGTATCCCTTCCAGTTTCAACCATCGCGCCAACAAAGGACTAGAGGTTTCACATCATCTTCAACAACCTTCAGCCCAAGAAGCAGAGCAACCTTGTCACTTCAACTGTGTGTGATTAGGCCCAGTACACATTGGCCTGTCCGTACTCTATTTGGTCTGATCAATAATAAAATCTAAAGTGTTTTGGTACGATCATATCATGTGGAAGATCTCATTCATTCCTTAACAGATCAAGGATCATAATATTAATGGAGAAATTCGTACAATGAAAAAGTAAAACTTATCATTTAGTTATTGACCATTAATTTGTGAATGATGATTAAAAACTTTTAAGTGATTATGTGAAAATAAATCATGTTCCCGTTAACAATAAATCTTGTAATTGTTGCACGTCGAAATGATGGAATGAATATTGGGTCACAGCATTATGAGTCATGATCTTAAACTTTGCGAATGAGGATGATGAAGCACCAGATCTTATTAGCATATTGATTCTAGTATTTAAATTAAGGAGTTTACATTTATCATTTAACATGACACAAAAAAGTTTCTTACACACACAATATTTTGTGGGATCCACATTTTTTGAAACAAAAAAAAAAAACTATGGCTCACAAAACGAATCTCTATAACATTACACAATCACTTTTCCTACAACATAACTCTTATAAAACCCTTAATTTAAAGTTGCATTTTTGTCTATTACTTAACACTTTGGAAAATCTCTAGCTGAAATAATATTCACTATTCTACCATAAAGTCATAGGATTGTCGTCATCAATCATGAGCAATATGTTTTTAGGAATAATTTATACATTGCCATGGTCTTACGAAAGTTCTAAGGCAATTTAAGCAAATCATAAATAATTAATAGAACTGTGTATAATATTCCATTTCATTGTAATATATTTAGACAGAAGAGATAAACCAAACACCATTGGTACAAGTGGTAAGGAGCTTGTATCTCTTAATTAGTGGTCTCCTGTTCCTGAAAATAAAGAAATAGTTTGGGAGAGTCGCCCCTTTATAAGATCTGACAATGCTTGAACCGGACTAGTATGGAGGATGAATCAGTTGAGGGAACTAAAAAAGAAAGAAAGAAGATAAACCAAACATAGGATGTGGATTGTGGAGAGTAATTTTGGCCATACGATGGAAATGTCATTAAAATCTCACGAATCTAATTTTCTCTATATTTTAATTAAAACTTGGGAGTTACTAATCTCATGTTATTTGAGATAGTTCTCTCATATAGGTGAGACAAATATATAGTGTCTATAATTAAAAAAAAAAAAACTGACACAAAATTTGATAAGTGTATAACATAAGATAACTATCTCCAATGACATGAGACAAATATTTCTCTTAAAACTTATAACCAAAATAGGCTTTTTAAAATACTTATTAATAGAAATAGGGAACAGTTATACTGACCACTTTTTTTTTATCACCTCTTATTATTAATTTTGTTATTATTGGATCAAAATCAAATCTATAGCCCTCACTTGATGTTATTTTATAATCTTTGATTTGATTTTAATGCAACGATAACAAAATTGATAATAAGAGGTGATAAGAAAGAATCATAGCAAGTGTACCGTTCAGTTCTGTGAGCCCACTATGTACCCTTGAGGGTAATGTTATTATATGAATTACACCACTAGCTGAGGTAAAGACTAGGCTAGAAGGTATAGTTCCAAGAGGTAGCAAGTTGATATCAATGGCAGATAAATAACAAGAGTATGACTTGGAAGTAAATGGGCATAACAACAGTACATAAAAGATATCTGGTGGTGTGCCCCCTAAGGGCTATTTATAAGGAAGATGATGCGGGTTGGTGAGGTGGGGGTCAACCCTTCTTGGGGTGCACACCCATGATGGCAGTGTTAGGCGTGGTTGGCGCTGCCACAATGGCAGTGCTGCAACCACTGCACCCGGCAATGTCAGCGCTGAACAAAGGGGCAGGTTCCTTTGCAGTGCTTATGGCGACTGCCTTTAGCGGTTAATGTCCCGAAGTTGGACATTTTGGTGTATCTCTTGGACGTGCTGCAGTCTTGGAGATCGTGAGGGTCTACATCAGCCCTAAGGGCTGACGCGGAACAAGGCTGGGGGTTGGGCTTGAGTAATTGGGCCAGCTGAGGGTTGGGCCCGAGTAATTGGGCCACTCCAGTACTTGGGCCATCCAGAACAGGAGCCCCCCAGCTTGGTAGCAACCGTGGGATGGTGCCAAGTTAAAGACTTTGATCGTTCTTGTCAGGGCGGTGTGCGTCCTTCGAGAGGGAGTTACTGACGCTCTATGGGGCGTCCTTCAAGAGGGAAATGACTACAAAGCCTCGTATCGCCGTGGCGCTATGAACCCGAACCTGGTTATAATCATAAGTCGGCGCCTTGGTAGATAGGATTTGGCGACGCATTGTTTGGCGATGTGAAACGCTTGAGCATGGGCGATTGCTTTTGGTGATAGCTGTAATAAGGTCATTGATGACGGGGATTGGTAGGTGACGGAACTGAAAGGCTGCCTCTTAAAGACACTTTAGAGAGGCTTTTCGGTTTCCGAGGAGCCGTAATGATGAGTTATCCCATCATTACTGTTTATTGCAGGCATCCAAGCGTCATAGGGTTCGGCGTATTAATGCTCCGCGACTGGTGACTTATCCCTTTGAAGTGATCACTTTGCCCCCTCTCCTTAACCGCTTATCACACGATGAGCATGTCATCGTACGGTTAAGTGAGGAGGATTTACACGTGTCCGTGTGAAACCTCTCTCTTTCTTTACACGTGTCTGTGAGAGACTTGTGTGAGACTTCTCTCTTCCCCCCCTTTTTTTTATAAAAGGGGGGGAGCCCCTTTGTTGGGGCTCTTTCTTACGCGAACCTACACTCTTACGCTTTGGTCAAAGCCTTTGTTCCCTATCCTCAGTTAGGTGTGATATTGCCGGTCTTCTTTCTCTCCTTTTCTGCGATTCTCAGGTATAGTCATTCTTCTCTTGTCGTTTCTATTCTCATTTCTGGTTGTCTTCTACTTTCTTTTCTGCTGTATCAATGGTTAGGTTTACAGAACCTATCCTAGGCCTCATACTCCCTGAATTAGAAGTAGAAATCAAGGAAGAGGAGTTTGACGAGGCCTTTGAGGCATTGGGGAACAGTGCGGTGGGGCCAGCGATGCGAGAGTATCTTGCTAGTTGCGCCCCAAGTCGTTCCTTAGTTCCTGGGGTTGAGAAGTTTCCCCACGGGAAAGTACCCGAACTTCTGGGTTTTAGCGAAAAGGAGATTCAAAATCTCCTTCCTGAGAGAGCTTTAGGGCCTGTCCTCCCTATGCTGGTGATGCGTCATGTTCAATTCCCCGTAGCGGGCGCCGCAGAGGGCGCCACGATTTAGTTGGTGAGAAAAACTCCAGATCTGGTGGGCGTTCGCCTGCCGCCTCGAGGAGGCAGAGAGTCACTTCACGTCGTCGCGTTTTACGGCGTTCTGATCTTGGAACTGGGCGGTCGTTCTGTACCCCCATAGGACGTTGTCAAGATTGTCAATCCATGCCCCTTTGTGTGCTTCAAGCTTCTTTTTAATTCCTTTTCCCAACATTTTGTTGGCTGATTCTACCAAACCGTTGGATTGTGGGTGTTCTACGGCAGCAAAGTGGTGTCGTATGTGCAGGCTGCTCATTAATTCGCGGAACTTGGCATCGGTGAATTGAGTGCCGTTATCCGTGATAACTTCCCCGGGAATGCCAAAACGGTAAATGATGCTTCTCCAGAAGAACCTTCTTGCTTTTTGAGAGGTTATAGTCGCCAAGGGTTCTGCTTCTACCCACTTGGTAAAATAGTCGATAGCGACCATCAGCCATTGCACTCGCCCAGCTGCCATAGGGAAAGGACCCAGAATGTCGATGCCCCACTTGTAGAAGGGTCATGGTGAGGTGATTGATGTTAACTCTTCTGGCGGTGCTCTATGTATGTCGGCGAACCTCTGACATTTTTCGCACTTTTTGACGTGTTCATGGGCGTCACGTTCCATGGTTGACCAATAAAATCCGGCTCTCAACGCCTTCTTTGCTAGTGAGTGACCGCCCATGTGATGGCCGTTGATTCCTTCATGGATTTCTTCTAACACGTATGGAACATCAGTGGGATTCAAACATTTCAGGAGTGGGGTTGAAAGTCCACGCTTGTACAACCGCCCTTGTACTATGCAGAAGTGGGCGCTTCTACGAATTATCTTTCTAGCATCTTTCTGGTTAGGAGGCAAGGCCCCTTCAGCTAAATAATTGGCAATGGGCGTGATCCAGGTTTCTTCAGTAGCTCCAGGGGCTGTCTCTGAGATACTCATGACTATGCACGAGTTTGGCATACTCTGCTGGACTATAGAACGGTTGTTGCCTGGGCTTTTAGTGCTTGCTAGCTTGGACAAAATGTCCGCCCGGGTATTTTCAGTACGTCGGATATGTTCCACCTCGACACTTTCAAAACCTCCAATTAGCTCTCTGACTTTTTCTAAGTGTTTGCACATCAGTGCTCCTTTGGCTTGGTACTCGCCGGAGATCTGAAATGTCACCAGCTGGGAGTCACTAAAGACTTTGAGGCGTTGGGCCCCCATTTCCTTTGCTTGGATCAGACCAGCTATCATGGCCTCATATTCCGCCTGGTTATTAGTGGTGTTGAAATCAAATGATAAAGAATGTTCGATAGCCACGCCATCTGGATTTTCTATTATCATCCCTGCACCGGAGCCTTTGGCCTTTGACGAGCCATCTACATATAGTTTCCATACTTCTGATAATGGCGTTCCCATGGCTTGGTTCTTGGGCGGGGAAAGTTGCGTCATTTCTGCAATGAAGTCAGTGAGTGCTTGGGCTTTGATGGCGGTCCTAGGCTCATAGGTGATCTGATACTCGGACAGCTCGATCGCCCACGACATCATCCTTCCAGCCATGTCAGGTTTGTGCAGGACTTGGCGAATTGGTTGGTTGGTCCTGATGGTGATTGGATGGCACTGGAAGTACGGTCTTAAACGCCGCGCGGCAAAGATAAGCGTTAAAGCTACCTTTTCCACCTGTTGGTATCGAAGCTCTGCACCTTGTAGAACCTTACTGATGAAATAAACAGGCTTTTGTCCTTCCTTTATTTCTTTGACAAGGGCTGCACTGATCGCCTTGGTACCTACGGCAAGATATAAATACAGCATTTCTCTGTTGTCTGGTTTGGCGAGTACCGGTGGGCAAGAGAGCGCCCTTTTGAATTCCTGGAAGGCGTTCTCACATTCTTCTGACCACCGAAAGACGGTTCCTTTTTTGAGTAAGCCAAAGAGAGGGAGCGATTTGTGAGCCGAATTGGCCAAAAAATGAGTGAGAGCTACTAACCTTCCTGTTAGTTGCTGAACTTCCTTAATTGTTTGTGGGCTTCGCATTTCAATCACCGCCTTGCACTTATCAGGATTGACCTCAATGCCTCGCTCAGTGAGCATAAATCCTAGGAATTTGCCCGCAAGAACTCCGAAGGCGCACTTGCTGGGATTCAAACGCATGTTGAATTTTCTGAGTCTTTCAAATACTCCTTGTAGGTCAGTCAAATGTTGTTCGGACGTTCTTGATTTAGTGATCATGTCATCGATGTATCCTTCGATGCAATTGCCAATCAGGTCTCTGAATACTTCATTCATCATCCTTTGGTAAGTGGCCCCAGCATTCTTTAGACCGAAGGGCATCATTGTATAACAGTAATTGGCGTTCTGAGTGATGAACGCCGTTTTATCTTGGTCTTCTTCAAGAAGCGGAATCTGATTGTAACCTGAATATGCGTCCATGAATGACAGTATTTTGAATCCGGACGCGTTGTCGACCAACTGATCAATGCTAGGAAAATGGTAAGCATCCTTTGGACAGACCTTGTTTAGGTCGGTGTAGTCAACGCACATTCTCCATGCGCCGTTTGGTTTTTTAACCAATACTGGGTTGGATAACCAAGTTGTGTACTTGATTTCCCTTATGAACCCGGCGGCGTGGAGCCTTTTGACTTCTTCATCAATCACCCTCTGGCGGTCGGGACCGAATTTCCTCTTTTTCTGGGCGACTGGCTTGGCTTTGGGATCCACCGACAAACGGTGGCAGCAAACGTCTGGATTGATACCCGGCATGTCGGAAGGCTTCCATGCGAACAAATCTTTGTTATCTTTGAACAACTTGATTAACTTGCATTTCATTTCGGGGTCGATGGTGGCCCCGATGGTTGTTGTTTGATGATCCGCATCTCCTAATACAACATGTTCCAACGCCCCATCAGGCGTGGGTCTGTCATGTTCCACGCGCGGATCATCTCTGGCATCAAATTCTACCAAAAAACATTGGTCATGCTCCTTTGTCTCCTCGCCTGGATTTCTTTCGGCTGGCGAGGTCACCCTCTGTTTGGGTGGCCTTTCATCATTAAAACTAGCTTTGGCCATTGGCCGCAAGGATATGTTGTAGCAGCTTCGGGCTATCGTCTGGTCTCCTCGCACCGTGGCGACTTTGTGGTCACGGGCAACGAACTTCATTGCCAAGTGGGGGTGTGAGATGCTTGCCTCGAAGGCGGCGAACATCCTTCTACCAAGAATGGCGTTGTAAGCTGATGAGGTGTCGAGCACCAAAAATTGGATGTCTGCGGATCGTGAGGTGGGCGGCGTTCCAAGGGAAAGTCGCAAGGTAATCACTCCCAGTGGCTTTGTGGTGGTAGCGTTGAAACCTGAGAGTTCACCTGTAACAGGAGTTAAACTATCAACAGTAAATCCTAACGCTTTAAAGCATGGTAAAAACAAAATGTCGGCTGAGCTACCGTGGTCAATAAAAACGCGATTAACGCCGAAGTTGGCGATTATAGCTTGAATGACGAGTGGATCGTCGTGTCCAGGGAGGATATCGTCAAAATCGCTGTTGTCCCAAACAATTTGAGGTCTGGTTGGACCAGGGTTGTTCTTTGCTTTTCCAATGACTTTGCCAGCGACCGCCAGACACTGCTTCAAATGTTTCTTTTTGGCGTTCGCCATCTCTCCGCCTCTGCTCAGTCCACCTGAAATCATGTTTATCACTCCGTGCTTCACCGCGGCTGAGTCTTCGTCCACTTCTTCACGCCTCCCTCTGCGGTTTGGACTTGCTCGCGCTCTGCGATTCCTGGGGGAATCCTCTCTCCTATCACGGTTGTAGGAGGGTCTAGAGCCAGATTGATTCGTTCTTCTTCTTTCAGGCGATTTGCTGCGCTCACGATATCGCCTTCCTGTTCCAGAAGGGCGTGTGCTGTCTCCTCCTCGCCTCTGTGCTCCGCCTTTGATGAGTTCATCAATTTCGTCTTTGAGGTGCCTGCATTGCTCAGTGTTATGACCGTTGCTGCGATGGAACTTGCAGTACATGATGTTTTCTTTAGGCGGGTTCTGAGGCTGCTGGGTGCTCTTGGATTCTTCCTTATATTCCGTTTGTAGGACGGCATGTGTCTGACGACCTGATGTGTCGCGCCCAGAAGGGCGGTTTGAATATTTGGCCGATTTGTTTCCTTTCTTACTTTCTTCCATTTGGTTCTTCTGTTTACTGACTGCCTTTTCCTGACTGTGGGCGTCGTCAACTCGGCTTCCTTTGTACTCTTCGATTCACATGTACTCCTGGGCCACCTTCTTGACTTCTTCCAGGTCAGTGATCTCATGGCGGGCGAGCTCGTACGCGAACGCACCCTGTCGCAAGCCCGAAAGAAGTATATGTACCTGTACTTTGGGGTCCAGGCCTTGTACCTGTAGGGCCTCCTTATCAAAGCGGTCTAAAAAGGACCTGAGGGACTCGCCCGGCTGCTGGCGTATTTTTTCTAGAGAGTGGACAGATTTTGGCACAAGGCGACTTGTGGCAAAGTGAGACTGAAACTTGCTTGCCAACTCGTCCCATGAAGCGATACTACCAGTTGGTAGGGTTGTGTACCATGTTAAAGCTCGCCCCCCAAGTAGCGTGGGGAAAGTCCTGCACATGAGGAGGTCTGTTTCACCATGGAGAGTCATTGCTGCCTCAAATTTCTGGATCCATTCAAAAGGATCGGCATCTCCAACATATGTGGCGATATTGGAGGGTCCTTTAAAACCAAGGGGTATGGGTGTTAACCGGAGGATATCAGTCAGGGGTTTGTTGCGCCCCGACGTATGGGTTGGCGTGACTCGTATATTGTTGTTTCGGGTGGGACGGTCTATTTGTGGTTGAGGGGCTTCAACAGAGTAGGAGAGGGTCGGGGCGTGATTGAAAGGCTGTTGGGCGACATACGGTTGTTGACCCTGGTTTTGATAGGACACTTGGTGCAGCGGGATGGCCGGATTCTGCGGTTGGGCAGCATAACCATGGAAAGGAAAACCAGTTGGGTAAAGTTGAGGGAAATGGGGGTATGGTCCCATAGGGAACGGGGTGACCATTGGTGCTCGGTAATCGTTGTGCATGGCTACTGGTAGACTTTGGGCTGGTTGTGGGCGATGGGCTCGCGGGACGGGAATGACTGGTGGGGCAATAGTGTGGAAAGGCATTCTAAAACGAACTCCTGGTGGCGGGGGTTGGTCTTGTACCAGGTTTTCCCCTTGCATTTCACGCATAGGTGCGCGATAATTCAACTGTGCTATCCTGGTTCGACTGCTTGCATTTGTGGACCGACGGATTGTAATACAGGTTGGAGCATCTCGCCGGGGGGTCTCTCGGCTGGGGCTGAATGCATCGATGGCGGGGAATTTGAACGTACTGTTTGTACATGACCGTCAGGAGTGACGACCCTGGTTTGTTCCGCTCTTCTGGTTGTGACAACCATGTTTGTTATCAAAACGTAACACACGTCTTGTGGATCTTTGGTAGGAGAATGGGACTAGAAGTTTATAGTTTCCCACAGACGACGCCAATGTACCGTTCAGTTCTGTGAGCCCACTATGTACCCTTGAGGGTAATGTTATTATATGGATTACACCACTAGCTGAGGTAAAGACCAGGCTAGAAGGTATAGTTCCAAGAGGTAGCAAGTTGATATCAATGGCAGATAAATAACAAGAGTATGACTTGGAAGTAAATGAGCATAACAACAGTACATAAAAGATATCTGGTGGTGTGCCCCCTAAGGGCTATTTATAAGGAAGATGATGCGGGTTGGTGAGGTGGGGGTCAACCCTTCTTGGGGTGCACACCCATGATGGCAGTGTTAGGCGTGGTTGGCGCTGCCACAATGGCAGTGCTGCAACCACTGCACCCGGCGATGTCAGCGCTGAACAAAGGGGCAGGTTCCTTTGCAGTGCTTATGGCGACTGCCTTTAGCGGTTAATGTCCCGAAGTGGGACATTTTGGTGTATCTCTTGGACGTGCTGCAGTCTTGGAGATCGTGAAGGTCTACATCAGCCCTAAGGGCTGACGCGGAACAAGGCTGGGGGTTGGGCTTGAGTAACTGGGCCAGCTGAGGGTTGGGCCCGAGTAATTGGGCCACTCCAGTACTTGGGCCATCCAGAACAGCAGTATAACCAATATATATAAATAAACATAAAAAAATGTGTGTTATTTTGTATAATAAAGTATACAAATGCATATCATGTATAGTCCAATTTTTTTTTTTGCCTTGAAAACCGTTTAAGGAACCAGTTTTTTTGTTTTCCCCCTCCGCTCTGCTGTTTTTTTTGTTTTTTCAAATGTTGTTGGATTGAAACTATGGTTGTCGTGTCTTGTTGGATTGAGGTAGAATCATGAAGGAGCACAAATCATAGAAGGGTAGTTGCGACATTGACCTTACAGTTACATATGATTCTTACGTTAGTGGTATAGGTGAGGTGACATGTTCTCCTTGTTTTGTTTCCCAACTCCCTTGTCTTTTTCCCTTGCAAGATTGACACTTGAACTTTCCTGGTTCCTCAAGAGAATGATCTCTAACGCTCCTGCTACTACTGTCAAGTGTTCTTCACACTGCTTTGTTGAATCTCCAACCTCTTTGCTTGAAAGGTGCAAGTCCATGTACCAGCTAAAGCAAATTCACTCGCAGACAATCAAAATGGGTCTCTCTTCAGACCCCATATTTCGAAATGGTGTTATCACCTTCTGTTGTACCCAGGAATCAGGGGATGTTTACTATGCTCGTCAATTGTTTGACACAATGTCACACCCAAGTGTGTTCATTTGGAATACCATGATCAAGGGCTATTCTAGGATAAACTGTCCTGGGAATGGAGTTTCTATGTATCTACAAATGCTGGCCAATGACGTCAAGCCTGATAGTTTTACATTTCCATTCTTGTTGAAGGGATTTACCAGTGATATGGCTTTGCAGTATGGGAAAGTGTTACTTAGCCATGCAGTGAAACATGGGGTTGGTTCTAATTTGTTTGTTCAAAAGGCTTTCATACATATGTTTTCCTTGTGCGGGCTAGTGGATTTAGCTCAAAAGGTTTTTGATATGGGTGATCCATGGGAGGTGGTTTCCTGGAATGTAATGCTATCTGGGTACAACAGAGTTAAGCAATTTGAGAAATCAAAGAAGCTTTTTATTGAGATGGAGAAGAAAGAAGTATCACCCAATTCAGTTACTCTAGTTTTGATGCTTTCAGCATGCTCCAAGTTGAAGGATTTAGATGGGGGCAAGTACATTTATAAGTATATCAAAGAAGGTAATGTTGAACCTAATCTCATATTGGAAAATGCCTTAATTGATATGTTTGCAGCTTGTGGAGTAATGGATGCTGCACGAGGTGTTTTTGATGGTATGAAGACTCGAGATGTAATTTCTTGGACTTCCATTGTCACTGGGTTTGCCAATACCGGTCAAATTGACTTAGCTCAGAAGTATTTTGATCAAATGCCTGAAAGAGATTATGTTTCATGGACTGCTATGATTGATGTCTACCTTAGAATGAACCGTTTCAAAGAAGCTTTGGCTCTTTTCCGTGAGATGCAAATGTCAAATGTAAAACCTGATGAATTCACCATGGTTAGTATTCTAACAGCCTGTGCGCATCTGGGAGCACTTGAACTAGGGGAGTGGGTAAAGGCTTACATTGACAAAAACAGTATTAGAAATGATACTTTCGTTGGGAATGCTCTAATAGACATGTACTTTAAATGTGGGAATGTTGAGAAAGCAAGAAAAATATTTAAGGAAATGCATCAGAAAGACAAATTTACCTGGACAGCAATGATAGTTGGTCTTGCCATTAATGGCCATGGTGAAGAAGCCCTTACAATGTTTTCAAATATGACACAAGCTTCAGTTACACCAGATGAGATAACCTATATTGGTGTCTTGTGTGCATGTACACACGCAGGAATGGTAGAGAAAGGAAGAAAGATTTTTAGTAGCATGACCATCCAACATGGAATTAAGCCTAATGTGACACATTATGGATGCATGGTTGATCTCCTTGGTCGAGCTGGGCGTTTAAAAGAAGCCCTAGAAGTCATTAAGAAAATGCCTGTAAAACCAAATTCAATTGTTTGGGGATCGCTTCTTGGTGCTTGTAGGGTTCACAAAAATGTGGAGCTGGCAGAAATGGCAGCTAAACAAATTCTTGAGTTAGAGCCTGAAAATGGGGCTGTTTATGTCTTGTTATGTAATATATATGCTGCCTGCAAGAGATGGGAAAACTTGCGTGAAGTCAGGAAAATGATGATGGAGAGGGGAATTAAGAAAACACCAGGTTGCAGCTTGATGGAGTTGAATGGCATTGTCTATGAATTTGTTGCTGGGGACCAGTCGCATCCTCAATCTAAAGAGATATATGCAAAGTTGGAAAACATGATGCAAGACTTGATATATGCAGGGTATTCACCTGATACATCAGAGGTTTTCCTTGATATAGGGGAAGAGGATAAGGAGACTTCACTTTACAGGCATAGCGAGAAGTTGGCTATTGCCTATGCCCTTATTAGTTCAGGACCTGGAGTTACCATAAGAATAGTGAAGAACCTTAGAATGTGTGTTGATTGTCACCAAATGGCAAAGCTGGTCTCAGAGGCTTACAGTAGAGAACTAATAATTAGGGATAGAACTAGATTCCATCATTTCAGGCATGGTTCTTGTTCTTGTAATAATTTTTGGTAAAACTTTAACATATAAAAAGATCGAGAAGAATAGCTACAAGTAGCAAAGTTCTAACATACATTGAAATATACATTATAGAAATTGAAATATTTTGTATTATATTCATTTTGTTACTTGCTAAGGTCAAGAAACATGTTAATCTTGATGGAGCTGGTCTATAAAACAATAACCGAGGTTCCATTGCCAAGTTTGAAGGGCTTTAATCTTTAATACTAATGTACATAAACATGTTGTTCCACTCTTGAATTGAATTACATGCCAGATTAAGTTAAGAAATCAAAGGTAAGTGTAAAAAATAAAATAAAATTAAAGATAACCAGAATTCTTCTATTTATTATCACATAAATATTTCATGTGCAATGCAGAACCATAAATGTTGAATGTATGTGCATAAGAGCTTATTCCAGCAATTGTGATACACATTATATTTAATCTCTAAGCTTGGGAAAAACAATAGAATTTACAATTACAGCCTGAAAAATGTGA